AATTATATAATTTATAACACTAAGATTAAACTAATTAAGTACTTTTTACTCTTCATATTTGTTTCAGTTTTTAATTTTATTTTTATTTTTCACTGAATGAAGGCTAGAATTATAGCCGAAACGTATGGATGTAAAATAAATTTTTGAAAGAAATTCATGTTTTTTATTGATGTTATCCCGATTACTAGACTTGTTAATACATATGTCATCATCAAATATTCTTAATTATAAATTCCATTGTGAAATAGTATTATGAAGCGAAAAAAAATTAAGCAAAGTTATCTTTCTCAATTATTTCCTCAAGTAGATGATTAAAATCATTATTAATTGAAAAACTTTTTAATGACCTGACGTTCTGGAGCGAAATGAAAAATATATCTTTAAATTACAAGATATGATTGATTTTTAATCACGATCTTTGTATACACGATTATTATATTGCTGATTACGCTCTGAGAAGCATTAAGGAATTGAATATCGCTCCTGGACGCATTAATTAATTAAATTTACCTTTAGCATTATGCATGCTTTTAGAAAATATAATCACATTATTACTCTGTATCTAACTTTAATTCCCTTTACGTCTTCTGAAATAAGATAAAATTCTTGCACTTCGATGCGAAAACACCAATTAGTGAACTTCTTTTATTTAAAGTCTCAATTATTTTTACTGCTGTAGTGCAAAATATTTTAGCGTTTTTAATTAGATGTTCAATAATGGTTTTTCGAGAACACTTACCTGTGATAGGTTTTGCTGCCTTGTTATGTTTATGTGCTTTTTTTGGTGGTTGAAACTGTACTCTGGCTTCCTAAAAAAAAAAAAGAAGTTAACTAAAACTCCATAATTATATAATTGAAAGGCGAAGAAAACATGTTTTCGCTAAGTTTATAACTGCAAAGTTAGCATATATGAAACGGAAATATTTTGTAGTAGTACCTATTGAAGGAGTTTAAAATATTACTTTTAAGAAATATTTTTCGTTTTGTTGTCAATTTCCAAGTTTAATACGAACTGTATGAATAATTTTCCGGATTAGTTATATCATCCGTTTTTTTAAACTTTTTCTAACTCTGCATTTCTCATCATAAACTGAACAGCAGGGTGCATTAAAGTTCACTATAAGTTTTCGTTTAAAGTTTTAATAAATATTGAAGTTCTAAGCGATTGCCTACTTTAAACTTTCTTGCTCTGATTAATATTTTAGCAGATAATAAGGAATCAAAGGGAAAAGTTTGAAAACATATTTTAAGCCGTTTATCTATACACGCAAAATAGGTTTTTCATTTAGTTTTTTTTAAATTAGCCAACAATTAAAGTTCATACATAAACATACTACACGTTTGATAAATAATGCTTGTGTGATATATTATTACTAGTTTGTCGGATTGAATAACATATTTCTTTTTTGCTGATACATTCCAAATAATCTTCATCTTTTCAGATTCATAAAAGTTTTATTCTATGCGATGCAGAAAATTAGTTACCTGTCGACAGGCGATTTGATTCGAGTGTTATTTATTCATACACGATATCGTTTACAGATGACCGATTGTATGATTATTTTTATTTATTAATAATTTAGTTTCAAATAATACTTAATAAATTTGGTGTAACATCCGAAGTGGTAAAAATAACTCAGTACATAAACATAAGTGCGCGATGATTGTGTGAATTGCCAAAAATTTTTTAGATGTATAATGTAGATTTTATGTACCGACTCATGGCTAGTTAAACTTTCCAATAACGATAACTCAAGTTTTTAATTAAAACTCTCATTAGCTATCCAAAACGTAGTCAGACTCTCCAAGAAATGCTCAGCAGTTTAAAGAGTTTAAAATGTCTAGTTACAGATTAAAAAACATTTTAAACATGTGATCATTTATCATTTTAACAAGATTTATCTATGTTGAGTCTGGTAAGAATTTTGTACTAGTTTCGTATATTACAGTCTTTTGTATTAAAAAACTAAAAAATACAAAATGAAAATCTCATCTTTGTAAGCAACCAGCCATGCACTAACTCATAGTGAAAACCGCCGGAATTTTTCAATTATTCATCGTTGTACGCCAACGCGTTCTAGGAAGAATAATGAAAGCCTCTGATAAGACAGAGTTTTTATGAAAATTTTATGACTATTGTAACCATAAATCTAACCTCAGATGGAAATTAACTCTTGTTTTAATAATTCATAAGCAGATCTTTGCAGAAGTTCCACTCGCGTATTTGGCTCCGAAATGCTTTTGAACCAAAATCGAACAATGGGTTTATAATTATGAATTAATCTCGACGAAGCTTTCGCTGAAAATACTTAATTTTTTACTTTCTTATTAATCATCAGCAGTTCATTTCATATTTTTTTCTATTCTTATGATATCTATGATGGTATTGCAATGTTAAATATAGTGATTATATTCTCTTTCTAGAAATAATGTTTATTCAAATAATGTTTGTTTTTTATCAAAAAATTCGCATATTATGTTTTCTCGGCGTTTCAAGCTATTCTGAATCAAATGAGACCAAAAAGTATGTATGTGTGTCTATGTCAACAGGTTTCAAAAATTTAAGACATTCGATGTATCTTGATGAGGACTAGCGTTTATCAATTTTGTGCGACGATCAGCCAAGCCTTTTCTTTATAAATAGTTTTGTCCACGTTTTAGCCTGCAATTCTGAATCGATTTTGAAAAATCAAAAACAGTTTTTTATGAAAGTTTTTTTTGGCGATATATATCATGGTCTTATAGAACTTACTGAAATATTACGGCCTTACGACGTAGTTCAGTTTTAAACATCCATCAAAGTTTGAAAATGAGGAGTTTTTCTGACGTTTGTTAAAATTAAAATTGGACGATTGGTATAACGATAGAGTTCTTGGTCTTAATGAACATAATAAACCATTAAAGTCCTACAGAAACTGGTTCAATTATAAAAAATATTGATTTTTGAAAATGTGCTTTTAGAAAATACTCTGAGTTAACGTGTTCGTTCGTTTTCAATTATGTGTAATAAATCCACTCGGAGTACTTTTAATCACTTATAAATTAATTTATTTTTCATTGATTTAGTCGATTATTTACACATATCGGAAAGTTCATGTAACTTGCCCCAAGGCAAAATACCAATATCAACTAGCTTACTCCAAGATTAGCTCAACTCAAGTATTTACAGTCTTCAATGTATTTAATAGATTTTAATTAAATTAATTAAAATAATTAGATAGAAAAAAAATGAATCAATGTTTTTATGTGTTTATCTCCAACACAGAATAATTTACAAACAATGTTATTCTTCAAGTGATCCAAACTACTTAATACTTTTAGTGTTTCGCTACCAAGTCGGACAAAGTAAGTTCTGAAGTAGTTTTGTCTTTTATTTACATTTAATATCCACGCCATAGAATGATCCGTTTATTGTCTTATCTGCCGAGTCCCAGATAGATTGCCATGCAGACGGGAGACCGCAAAAATCGATAAAGGATTCTCTCGCAGTTTTTGCTAGACACATGCACGGGGCATTGAGTGAAACTTAATTTATTAACCGAAAAAGTAGAACTAATTGGAATTACTTAACAAATAACATTTAACAACAGTGACCGAACTTATCAGCCGCATGCGTACGTTACCATGTATGTAATCTAATGACAAAATTGTTATTTACATAGAATACATGATATCCTGTTCAACACGTTTCTGACCACATTGATATTGATAATAGTATTGTGTTTTGATGTGTCATTTACCATGAATAAAGCTACAAGCAAATTGAAGCTTAATTACGAAACTGAAATTGTGACAGATAAACATGTGGCAAATAAAGCTTGTTTTGATGTGCGCCTGCGGTTCCTACAATTACTAATAGATAACATAATTATAGTAATCAGTAAACTTGGTCTCATTAAATTGAGTGATGTGGCGAAACCGACTTTAAGAGCATTATTTAAATTATAAATCTAATGATTTTTATCTTGCACGAGATGAAAAAGTATCCAGCACTGGTTGTCAGTTTGGTGCAAGAAGACATTTTGATAGCACCGCGACGCGTGAAGAAGATATATTGTCGTTATATCTTTTTCAACAGTTTTTCGCTGGCGATATAAATAGATATTCCTCAACCTAGGATTTTCTTCGCTGACACCCAAATCGCATAAGTGCTCTTAGAAAAATAATTTAAAGGTGATTTGCTAATGGATATATATATATATATATATATATATATATGTATATATATATATATAATATGAAACACAAAAAATGAATTACACACTAGTACTCGTGTAACTCTTAGTACATTAGATGCACAAAATGAACTGCAACGATTGCGATGTTTGTTATATTGGAAAAGTTCTCAATATATTTGTAAAAGTGGGTCAGCATGTTCATAATTCAAATAATCTCAAACAATTTAAAATCACATTCTCTGAACTCACTTTCTATACTAATCATTCCATAATACTTAATAAAGAAAAAATACTCATCTTAGGAAATTAGCTGAATCTTGTTTCAATTTTCTGAATTATAGGTATATTATGTTTTAACTTTTCATAGGGTAAGTCATAGTAATGGAAAAAATCCAAAATGAAAACTTTTGCATATCTTCACGTTTCAGAGGTTTGTGAACATTTTGGCCTATCTCATACAAAATGCATGTGCGGAGACAATTTTTCGTCGACGATTTCAGGCGTATTGATGAACCGATTTGAAAAATTCAAAAAGCAATAAATTCGTGGTGATAGGAAGACGTACTAGATTAGTTTTTGACGAAGACAGGTTCAGCGGCTTCAAGGGTATGGAGCAAAAAGTGCTAAAAATGTCAATTTTTAAGAGAAGATGAACCGATTTGAATGATTTGTAATGATGGGGAGAAGTGGTGATTAAATCTTGAAAAAGGCAGGTCCAGCCGTTTCGAAGATACAGGCTAAATATGCAAAAATTGCAGAGAACTAAGCATCCGATTTAAATGTTTTGAAAAACTTTCTGCTTGTGTTGATGAAACGATTGCTTTGGGGAAAGATTTTTTTTTTTAATTTTTAAAGAATTTTTTTTTTAATATCGAAAGATAATTTCGATTTTAATTCTAATTCTAGCTAAAGTCCTGAACATCACTTATAATACTTTGAATAATTATAATAATCTATTTGAAAACATTTAATATTCCTCGAATATTTCATTAAGGTACGGGAAGTTCAAGCAATTTGCCTTAAGTCGCGATGCCATACACCACTAGTTCATTTCATATTTATCTGAATTATGTATAATATATTAATGAATGAATATATTGTATATAATATTATATATATATATATATATATATATATATGTAATAATAGAAAGGTATACACCAGAAACGTCGAAGTTTTCACAGACAATTTTGTTTGCCATTCAATTTCTTGCTCGAAACGAAAGTCAAATATATGATATGAATATGATTTTGAAATCGAGATAAAATACGATAAATATTATTGAAATTGATTAGTATTGACATAAGCTACTTATACAAAAATATGTCTGGGTTATCCTTAAATGATATGTCTAGGCTATACATAAATATTATAAATATTACTTGATAGGTTTTTTTATTTTATTTTTTCTTGTACAAAATCATTACTCTAAATTTAATATCCACGTTATCAGGCATTTCTTTGAATTCAATCCCGTCCTGCTCTGGAGTATGATGGGGCAAGGTATATTCCAAAGTATTAATGCTCCCTTACATTACATCATTTTGTCATCAAACGAAATTTAAGAAAATGATATTACACTCCCTGTGATTTCCATCAAAATCAAATTAGATTGTATGTAAATTAAAAGC